AAGACGAAAGATGCCACGGAAGTCTCGCTTTTTGAACACAAAGTGCCGTCCTGTGCGCTTTTTTGCCTGTGGATTAATCTGCTTTTTCCCTATGTTGCGAATAGCTTTCTCGCTCGGCCCGAGCTCATTGGTAATCCAACGGTTCGATTTTTCTAGAGATGAAAAGGCTTTTGCCTTCGCAAATTCTTCGGCCGTCAAATGACTGCCTCTTGGCATCTTCATGGGCAAATTGGAGGAATGTCATACATGTGCGCCATCCATTTGATGGTGCTTTATTTTGTGTCATGCCATTGACTGATATGCGTAATCTATCGTCAGATTTGGCGCGGAAACTGTTGTGCAGCTATACTATTGCACCACCCATATGTTGGGTCTTGACGGCCGTGGTAGGTTTCGAGCACTGCATTCCGCACACACATGCATCCGACCGCATATGCAACTGCATTCTTTGGTGCATGCGCCAACAAGATTGATGTCGATACAACTTTGCAACATTCGAAATAGTTGGTGCAGCTATAGTTTTGTTCCAGACTGTACATGAAGCGTAGAGAGCATTGCTCCAGCGATGACATCCCAGTTGCATTTATCCTGAAGTTGATCGAATCCATGCCTAAACTGCTTAAGGTCGTTGCCAACAAGGAAGGTCCTACGAAGTACTAAAGGCCAGATACAAGTCAATACTTGGCGGTTTCTCGTTGGGGCAACGAAGACTTTTGGTACTTCCTCTGTTTTGCAATACTACTACCATTTGAAAAACCCACAATGTTGCTATTACCGCCACCATTTAGATATAATTGTATGAAAAGAAGAGGACAGCTTTTAATTGGATAAAATGTTCAATGCATCGCTACTGTGTTTGGTTCGACTGTTGGAAGTTAGCTATTTGCCGCAAAGAGAAGCGACAAAGGGCAGGACAGATTCAACATGAGAGCGTCTCGACGTCTCATAACGGCTTTTCGTAGATGGGGCAGTATAAAGTTGTTGCCACCATAATGTTCGATGACTTGACGCATGACAGCCTGCAAAGTAAGAAAAACATTTTCCAATGTCTCGCCACTCAGTGCGTTATATGCCATCTGGGTCGAAGCAATCACATCATGAACAGAACGACTCACCACATTGTACTGTAGGGACTGAATGGATGCGAAGAAGCCAAGGTCCAGCACATTGAGGTCGGGACTTTTCGGGGGCTGCCGGCGGACAACAAAAGTCCAGCCGTCCGTTGACATTTGGGCGAGTGCATCGTTGTCGATGGATCGGTGCGGAGTTGCGTTGTCCTGTTGAAGGACGACTCGCTTGGTAACACTTGCAAACTTGGCTTTGTTTGAGGGCACGACTTTTCTTAGCACATAATCACGGTACGTTCGACCATCAACATTCACGAGTGTCGTCACCATCGAACCAGCAGGACGATTACGTCAGCTTCGCGCCGCTGCAGCGACAAAAGGCCAAAGCCCGATTTTGACATCGAAACCGAGCGCTGGTTGTGGTCGGGCCACGGCACAGAGGAACATCACCTTGGGTAAGAACCGCTTGGACTTGCACCCACGCGGCTTCACTTCCTCACCATCCACAAGGTACACTTTGCGCCGGTCCTTATCTGCATTGAACCATTTTTCGTCTAGGTGGACGACATCCCACATGCCCGAAAATGGGACTTCGCTTGGAGAGCCGGTCCTGGTGGTTTCGTCGGAGCTGGAGCCGTTGCCTTCGGCAACGGCAACCAAGTATTCGTCAATGGCCGAGCGGGACAGAACAAGGTGGGCACAATAGAAATCCAAACGCTCGTACTTATTGGCGTCGGTAAGCAGAGTTTTGAGGCGCGTCGAGCGTCGCTGCACGACTCCCGTCTTGAGAGCTTTGTTAAGTGTGAAGGCAGAGATGCCGGTGGCGTCGGACAAGTCACGCATCGTGCTCCGTTGTTGATGAGGTACTTCTTGAATTGCCGCTTTTATTTCGTCGGTTGTGTATCGGGCCTTGCGTCCGACGCGGCCCTTTTTCAACGACTTTGTTGACCCTTTTTGTAGCGTCTCCACAAAATTCGAACAGTGCTGCGGTGCTAGCGGAAGCGGGATGCCACGGCCTTGATGGTTCCGTGCGGTAGCTTGCCCATGCAGAGGCTGTCTTGGAGCACGGTTACTATTTCACGCTTGGCTTTTTCGCACAACTCCCGTTGCGTGCGTCGGGCCGAACTCATGGCGGGAAATTTAAAAGTGGTCACACGGCCCCCAGTTTATTATTTTTATCATGATTATTTAAATATATTCGGTGGTGGTTATGCCTTGTCGATTTTGAACTCCAAAATTTCGTTTTGGCGCTTCGCTGCCGAGGTCGGGACTTTTCGGGGGCTGCCGGCGGACAACAAAAGTCCAGCCGTCCGTTGACACTTGTGCGAGTGCGTCGTTGTCGATGGAGCGGTGCGGAGTTGCGTTGTCCTGTTGAAGGACGACTCGCTTGGTAACACTTGCAAACTTGGCTTTGTTTGCGGGCACGACTTTGTTGAGCACGTAATCACGGTACGTTCGACCATCAACATTCACGAGTGTCGTCACCATCGAACCAGCAGGACGATTACGTGAGCTTCGCGCCGCTGCAGCGACAAA